AGTTATAAACTTTAAAAAACAAGTGAAAAAAAATAAATAAAACAAGTGAAATTAGATTAATAAAATGTTGTTCAGGGACATGGACAAATGTAACCTGTAAAATGAAGCAAAGGAACAGTAAAACTTGCCGGGCAGCAGATTAGTGGATCCAGACGTGTTGAAGTCACATGGGTGACTTCAACAGGCTGGTACTACATCTACTGTGTGACTTCACGAATGTTTCCCATGCTTCAAAACTGAATTTGAATGCTATATTCTTTTATATCTCAGAACTGAAAATGGGGAAAGAGTGCTATCTGACCAGGGCTCAGCAAAAACAAACTTAGGCTTTGTTATGACTTACATCTAGATTGCTCCCAAAATTCATGTGCTCATGGGAGCGCTTTTCAGAAGTAGCTGGATCTAAGGTGTGCGAATATGGATTAAGGGTGTGGCAACCAAATTAGTGCACTGATTGATGTAGCATAGTTCTGTGTGTGAATAATGGGAAGGAAGCCCCACTGTAGGTGTGGGTGGCACCACCCAAAAGGCTTGAAGCCTGGATGGGATAAAGGGAAAGGGAGGCTTCTTGCTACTGTTTTGCTGCTGCTGCCACCGCCACCGCCACCGCCTCCGCCTCCTGCCTACCCTGCCACGGACTGTTTCTCCTCTGTGATGCCCCTCTGCCATGCCATCCTGACTTGGAGGCAGCCAAGTATGGACTGAAACCTCTACAAACTGTGAGCTAAAATAAACCCTTCCTCCTTCCTACCATTGGGTGTCAGGTATTTTGTCCCACCAATAAGAAAGTAACCAAGACATGTTTTAAGGTAATTATCCACTATTCTTTATAACCATTCAGATGTCTACCAGTCTGGATTTCCTTCATTAGTTTCCCCTGGCTGTACTGCAGGATCAAGATGTTTCAAACTAGAGGGGTTTTTTTTGGATTTTAGAAAGGTAACATAGTACTTATACTGTATGTTCCCAAAAACCCTCTTGGAAATCTAAATCAGCACCGTGAAATCAAGTGCATGAATGTTTCTCCAGTAAAAGCTATTACTATCTACACCAAGAGGCATGAATGGAGTAAACAGTCTAACATCAGATCAGGTCTAAGGTCACCCACAAGTAAGTCTTAGTAAAAACTTGATTTTCAGAGCTTTTTATATATCAAATTTGTGAATAAGGAACTGTGGATCTGCAAAGAAATTCAACTTTACCTAAATAATAACTATAATAATAATGCTATTATTATTAACTATAATAACTATAATAAACTTTATATCACTTTAATTCAAGATTTTCTAATTATCAAAATGTAAGCTTTAAAGTAAACTAACACATATGTTATAAATGTCCAACCTTTAAAAGAAATACATGGGGGCCAGGGATTTAGCTCAGTGGTTCTGCCGCCTGCCTTGCAAGCGCAAAGTCCTGAGTTCGATCCCCGGTACCAAAATAAATAAATAAAAGAAATACATGTATAAAACAACTTTCAAGTTCTTTTCTACTTTATTTTTATTGTATCTTCATAATATTCTCACTTACTATATAGTGAGAAAAACTATAAAGTTTTATTTTAATTAGCAAATACCAGCAACAAGCCAAAAAAAAACCAAAAAACCCTATGCACTGTGGTAAGAAATATCATATGGGGGCTGCAGATTTAGCTCAGTGGTTTCACCACCTGCTGCGCAAGCACAAAGACCCAAGTTCAACATCTGATACCAAAAAATACAAAAGAAATATCATATGGTCTACAGGTATACTGACATCACTCAAATTAAATGTTTTCTAAGGCAATGAAACTTGTAAATAAATGTTTAATCCCCTTTACTCATCCACATGAGTCTTAAGTAAGTTTACCTCAATCCTACAGATTAGATAACTGGAAAGAATACTCCTGGAAAGAGTAAAATGAATCAAAATCCAGAAGTACAGACTTTAGAAAGCCATTTCTCCAACATAATGCTAAAACACAATTCTTTTTACCATAATAGGCAAACAGTGTGAGGATTGAGTCTTGACAACAAAGCATAGGTATTTACCCAAAGATGTCAAGCACTACAAAAGCAGATCACCAAAGCCCCCCCACTCCAAGTATTACGCAAACCTTTCTCAAAACTATGTTTAGATAGTATCAAGCAGCTCACAATCTGCAACCACATAAAGAGATAGATACATTCTCTTCGGATTAATTTAAGGGCCCATATGAAGAAACTAGAGGCTTCTTCTGCAAAGAAACAAGGTTAGTCTCCAAATTGAGACAGTCTTAGGATCCTGCTCTATTTATTCTTGGTGACTGACACTTTCCTGATGGCGAAGTCAAACGATAAGGATACACAATCAAAATTTTGTAACCAGAAATAGTTTTAAATGAAACCATTTTCTTTTACAAAGAAAAATTAAAGCTATTAACTAAAAATATGCTAAAGGTACACAGGAGATCTACATCCACAGAGCACACAGCTAAGCACTCTGCCTGTTAACATCTTCTGGCCTGGCCTACTGATAGCTTCACACAGTAACTTCTGGCACACAGGAATCCTTTTCCTTTGTCATTCAGGGAAGTGCAGCTCACCAGCCCTTCTTGGGGCTCCTGAAGGAGACCGTATTGTGTGCTGTGTCCCTATTAGACTACATTCCCTAAGTTGTCTCTATTAAAGACAAAATATTTTCTACAGCAAAACAAACAAAAGCGGACGTGCAGTAAAACAATGAGCAACTGTGAAATGCAGCTTATAAGGTAAGGTTTCAAATCATTAGAGTGATACCAGCCATTCTTTCATCAGTATTTTAGGAAACAAAAGTTTTTATAGCATTCTTTCAAAGATTAATTTGCAGACTTTCAGTCTGGAAAGGTGAAAAGTGAGAATGGACAGTTTGCACAACAACGTGAATATACTTAACGCCACCCAAATGGACACCTAAAAATAGCTAAAATAGGGCCAGAATTTAGCTCAGTGGCAATGTGCCTGCCTCAAAAGCCCAAGGTCCTGAGTTTGATACCCAGTACCGCAAAAACATAAAAATAAATAAAATAAAATTGGGCCAGGGATTTAGCTCAGTGGTTCCACTGTCTGCCTTGCAAGTGCAAGTTCCCAAGTTTGATTCCCCATACCAAAAAATAGCAAAATTTTTATGTAAATGCTACCAATTAAAATTAATTCATTCTAATATTTCACACTGAATATACATAATTTAAAATTAATCTGCTATAACTTTTTAAAAATTTTTTTCAATTTTATTTCCTGTGAACCTGTTCACTTTTTGGCTTGGCAAGACTTACTGCACTTCAGAATCACATTTATATTCATAACGGTATTTAATCAACTAAAAGCAGCAGTAATGGTGCTGTCAAGCCAGCAGCATCGATGTTAACTCTCATACCGCTGATGTCACCTTAATAAATGTCTCTTGGTTGTCTTAAGTACTTAATAAATGGACTAGATTGTTTACTGAGCATGTGCAATGTTGCAGGGTTTTCTGCTTCATTTTTTTTTTTCCGGTACCGGGGTTCAAACTCAGGACCTTGCACTTGCGAGGCAGGTGCAGTGCCACTGAGCTAAATCTCCGGCCCATTTCAGGTTTAAAATTATCTTCATCTTAATAATTCAGAAAATAAAGCAACAGCTTAGTTCCAAGCTCCGAATAATCCTAATAATTGTAATTAACATTACTAAACACCCAAGGAATAAAAGTGAAGTGGAAATAAAAAAATTCTATCTGGGATTCAGTCTGAACCTTGAGGTACTATTTTTAACTGAACTTCCTGGCCTTAGGTCAAAGTTTTGCTTAGCAAAATACCAAAGTGAAAATGCTGGAAGTGAAGCCCAGGCTGTTTTAGCTGGAAAGGCTGCGATCTCCACACAACCAATCCAATTCCCAATTAAAAGATTTCAAGGTGTCATGCTCCCCGTGAAAAACCAACAACACCTTAACTGAAACATCAGCAAAAGAGAACACCCAACAGGGCGAATATAGTACTTCCATTCGGATACAATTGGGCATATCGCTATATTCCACACACAGTCCAGAAAGATACACACTCTCCAACTCAGTTCCTGTATTTTGGCCAGACGGGACTGAGTCACTCTCTGAGGGTTCCAGAAACCTCAAAGGATAACCAACGGCTTCAGAGGAGAAGTCAGGCAGCAGCAAGGGAGGAGAAGGTTTTTCTCATCGGAGTCACTAGGTTTCTCCCAGCAGGACCCAGGACTGTGAGCACCGCGCCCTGGCACAGAAGGTGCGACCGCCCACCCTAACTCCTGCCCTGCAGAGCTTGCTTAGGAGCCAGAGGAACCCCTTCGGCTCTCTTTTCCCCGAGGTAGAAGTCCACACCATCTTTTCCTATTGCTACATCTCTCCTGCGTGCTATCAAACTGTCTTGCGAGAGGCAACTATCAACTCTTTAGAAAAATAAGAAAAATGCCAGCACTCTCCAGGGCATTTTCTTGTAAAACGCGTTCGCCTCTTAATCAAGAGCCACAAGCAGCCTCTACCCGGCTATGAATCTGGATTTCTAAGGGCGTCCTAGGAAAGATAAGATGCAGGGGCAGATTTATTCCATTCTACGATTCTGACCTTTTTTTGTTTTTGTTTTTGTTTTTGGCTCTCGAGCAACAATCTCGGGAAAATTCAATTTACATAAATTAAGATGCACTAAATAGCTACGAAGGAATGCTCAGAGGCAGCAGAAAACAGCAAAACCTTAGCTACGAACTCAAGATTCCCCACTAAAAGAGACAGTGGGCGCAGCGCTTTGTCGAGCACCCAGGTGGGCAGTGCCCACGGACACCTGCTCGCACCCGGGCAGCGTGACACTTTGCAACCTCGGCTCCCCCGCTTAGGAAGCTGGGCCAGGACGCCGCTTTTCCTCCCCAAACCTGCGGGTAAGCGGGAAGGGGACGCGGGGTGCTTTGCAGAGAAGGGGGTGACCCGGGACCGGGCCGGGAGGATCCGCGCCGGGAACGCGGTCCCGCGGTTGGGAGGGCAGCGGGGACCTGGCCGCAACCTACCAGCAGGCTGTCCACGTTGATAGGTGAGCGCGGGTCCCGAAGCAGCGCGTCCAGCTTCCTGCGGCGGTCGGCGGCCCCGTCCCCGGGCCCGGCCTCCTCGGGGTCGCCAGGCATCTTCCCGGGCGGCGGGGCCCTGCTCATGCCGCCGCCTGGGGCCTCGCGCCGCCCCCGCGCCCCGGGGCTCCGCCCGGGCCCAGCGCCCGCAGTGGGGGCCGCGCCTCGAGCTGGGTGGGGGCGCCGCTCCGAGGGCCCGGCGGGAGCGACAAGCGCGGGCGGCGTCCCCGCCCCTCCACCCCGAGCCTCGGAGTCCCGGGAGGCTGCAGCCCAGGTTCGGGCGACTACAGCCGCCGCTCCGCTCCCATGGTGGCCGCGGCAGCCTCCAGGCCTCGCAACACCGCTCTCACACGCGCGCCCCCACCGCGGCCCTGCCCTGCTAGCGCGCCGCCGCTACCCAGAAGCCCCTCCGCCCGCCCCGCGCGTGCTAGCCACGCCCCGCCTGCGCGCGCACCTGGGCCCCGCCCACCGGCCCCGCGTTTCCGCCCCGCGGCGCCCGCCTCCGTCCTCCTGTTACTCGGGTGCGCTCGGCTGTGCTTTCCCTTCGACCCCCCCACTTTTTCAGATTCCAAGAGGCAGAGGGTCTGTGGACGAGGACCGCTCTCCAGGGCCGCTATCCCCACTGAGGCCCGTCGCACCCCCCGGGGGCCAGGTTCCCCCCGACTCTGCGCGCAGCTCCGCCGAGGTCCTGCGTTCGCGGGTCCCGAGGCGCACCTGTGGTTCAGAGGGCGCCGCGTGGACTGCACCCGGGGTGCAGGGGTCGTCGTGAGCACTGGAGCCGGGAACTGAGGACTCACGCCCCGGCTTCCGAGTGGGGGTGGTGGGTCGGGGATTTAGCTCAGTGGTTCCGGCGCCTGCCTCGCAAGCCCAAAGTCCCGAGTTCGATTCCCGGTACTAAAAAAACCCAAAAACGTAAAAGGGCTGGAGATTTAGCTCAGTGGTGGGGCTCCTGCCTTGAAAGCGCAGGGTCCTGAGTTTAATTCCCGGTACCGTAAAAAAAAAAAAAAAAGTAGCTTCCTGGGGGGCCGGGGAGGTGGGTAGAGGCAGAAATTCTGGGATTTGCAAAGAGCTCCCTGCATCGCCCAGCTAGGGCTGATCCTCCAAACTCAGGAGAGCGTCCAAAAACTGCGCACCCGCGCGTCCGCGCCTCCGCGTTCCCGCCCCCTCGCGGCTAGTGCCGCGGGTCAACGCCTCCAGGGCTCGAGCGGAAAAGTATGTTCAAGGGCTATAAAACTGTTCATAAAGTCCCTTTGACCCAGTACGCCCATGTAAGGAAGTACATTTCTAAAGAAACGATCCACAGAGGGAGGGGGATTCAGCAGGGGTATTCAGAAAGTTCATAATGACCAAAACTTGGGAGTGGACCCAACTGTCCAACAGTCGAATAATCCATATAAGCACTGTCACACCAACAGAGAAATCTTATGTAGGTTATGCAGACTGCTAGGTGCAGCAAATTTTCGCTAAGTATGTTGAAAGGTGTATTGGAAATAAAGTTTAAAATGCTTAAGCACACATTAAAATTTCAAAAATAGAAAATGATATTAAGATACATGAGCTACTCTTTATAAAAGCTAGAACCTGATGCCCATAAGTAGTAAGAGTTAATCTCCCTGGCATATAAAAGATAAGTGCACAGATTGGCCAAAGCCCTGAGCTTGTAAAGCAGCGTGTTCATTAATAAGAATCCCAGGAATCTGTCTTTCCTTTCTGGGTAAAGCCAGTTTTACTTGGGCCGGAAGAGACCCTCGGTGACCCAACGCAGCACTGGTCCAAAGGTAAATCCCGTGAATTCGTAGGCTGAGTTACTCCCTCAGGCCCCAATAGACCCGAAAATGAGGGAGCTGGACACTCCATAGGCATTGGAATGAAATAATTATATAATGATTATGGATTCTTGTTCTTGGTGACAATATAATATACAAAGCAAAAAGAATGCCGTGTGCTTCTTGAGTTACAAATTAATTTTACAATGACTGGCTGTATATTTTTATGCAGCTGGTGGGATAACAATACCGTGGTCCCAAGTACTAGCCATGAAAGCCTATTTAAAAAGAAAAGTAATGAAAAAAAAAGAGTAATGATCAAGCTACATGTACCAAGCACTTTCTACAGAGAGCCATTTCTACAGATTAGAAACAGCCAGAGTGTAGATTTTTACCCATTTACAACAGTCTACCTGCAAGAAGAAAAGACTAGTCTGTTGATATGAGTTAAGCCATCTTTTTTCTTTCATTCCTTTTTTTACAGTATGACAATTCTTGTTTTACAAAAAGAATACACAAAAAATGTATTTTTGTAAAAGTTCAAACAAGCCAGAAATATACAGCCTAAAACTTGAAAAGTTGTTGACACCGCATGCTTGTAATCCAGCACTCTGGGAGGCTGAGGCAAGAGGAACTAAACTGGAGCCCAGCCTGGGCAACTTAGTGAGACACTGTCTCAAAATCAAAAATTTAAAAAGGGCTGGGAAGTAGCTCAGTGCTAGGCTCTGGGTTCAATCCCAGTACCAAAAAAAATTGTGTCTGTCTCTCTTCTCCGTAACTCTGAGTTGCCAGCATTTCTAAGCGTTTGGTTTCGGTTTAACCTCCCCTACCTAGCAATATTTTCCTCACCCTCTGACACCTCACTGTCCACACTATGGGTCCGAGGTTGCCTCTTTTGTATACCTGAGGCTCCTGTTCCCAGTTCTGGCTTTTCAGTTGAGGGATCCACCTCTTCCTCAGGGATTTACTGACCCATCGGGTGCATCTTTACTCTCTCCATCCACAGACAGGGATGTAAAGGGACTTTTTTTTTTTTTTTGTCTTTCAACATGGCTCCTGTAATTACTTGTTTAATAATATTTGTTCTTTTAAGAGCTTACCAGTGCTGCACAGCATGCATTATAGAAATTAATCTTCATTCTCAGAACAACCTTTTATCAATGGTAACATTATTGCATCCATTTTACAGATGATGTAACAGGGACTCGGCTGTGTGTTGATGGAATGAATTAATGAATGGATGGGTGGGTGGATGAAAACACAAACTGTGCGTGGTGCAGGGCTCACCAATAAAACATCACAACTCTTCCTGTCTTGCTTCACAGTGAGGAACACCTTGTAGTAAGATGCTTTGCCCCATGTAAGTCACATTTAATAAGAGAATAAAGGAGTAGCCTCTCAGTGAAAAGCTGTCATTATTTTTGTAAACTGCATTACTGTAAAGGGGAACGTACAGGGTTTAAAGGTTAATGAAATAGTTTCATCCTAAGTTTCATTCATACTTCTCATACTGACTCCCTGGTTGAAGGAAAATCACTAACCCCTCTGTGAGTCACTTTCTTCATACACAAAACAAATAATGAAGCTTGGTTGTCATTAACTCTCCTTAAGATCTCCAGTTGAAAGATTTCGTCTTCGTCCAGGGCAAATTGTTCAGCAGCAAGCTAGGAAGGAGAGAGATTTGGTCATGGCTTGGATACGGACTTATTGGTAGGTCACTGCAGATACAGATGCGGACATGGCTGAGAAAAGGGGTCCCAAGAAATGCCCGGGATCCCAGAAGCCAAGGCTGACTCTGGTTCTGCCAGTTGGGCAGGAACCCGGATGGCACTGCACCCAGCTCCTTTCCCCATCTGAGACAAGCAGATGCCTACCTACCGTGACGGCTCCAAAGCCAACACTGGGCCTCAGTGGGCAGCCGAGACCCTGGCCAGAACTGGGCTTCCTGGAGCTGGGCAGCGCCCCTTCCCAGGCTTTCTGGCCCACCTTGCTTTTCCTCTCAGTGGCTCAGACTTGGTTCATCCCCGACCGAGGGTCCCGCCATCCAGCCTCCTCTTCCCCACTGTTCTTGGGTCAGGGACCCAGTCAGCACTCAGTGTGAATCCCCTGCAGTGTTTAAGAAGCTGTTTAGCAAGGTGCTTGCCTCACACACCTGGGAAGATCAATGTTTTTATGTTTCTTTTGGTGCTTTTGACATCCCAAAACTTGGGCCTGACGTATGCTGGGAATTTCTCCCTTCCTGGCATGGACATCCACCCTATGACGAGCACGTTCCTCCTGCTGCTGCCACACACTTCGGCCCGAGGTGACTCCATGGTGCAGGCTGTGCTGTGCAGGGAAGTCCACCCATTCCCGCCTCTCCAGCCCATACCTTCTCTGCCATCCACCCCTCCCTTCTCACCCTGAGAGGCCTGCCCCACCCCTCAGCACCCTACACCCTGTTCACCTTCTAGGTTCAACCTGTGCACTGTGCTAGTTCTTCAGTAGACACCTAAAGGACCTGAGTGTGAGTTGTTCTCATATAGGCTTTGCAGTCAGTAATCATTGATTGGGCCAGGAGTGGTGGCACACGCTGTAATCTCAGCATTCTGGAAAGCTGAGGCAGGAGAGTTGAGAATTTGAGCCCAGCCTAGGCAGTTTAGGGATTTACAGAAACCGTCTCAAAATAAAAAGTGGCCTGTGGATGGAGATGTAGCTATGTAGCTCCGTGCAAAGCCCCTGGGTTTAATCCCCAGTATGGGGGGAAGCATTGTTAATTGAATAAGTACTTACCGTTTAAGGACTGAATGAATGCATATGAGAAGTGAATGAGTCTGAGAAAGCACAAGTGGCTGAATTCAAGCAAGATAGTGCCCAAGGAGGGACGGGACCAGCTGGGTGGGGGTCAGTTCCGCTGACCAAGGAGAAGCACCTGGCCAGAACGGAAGTCGCTGGTGTGGAGACTGCAAGGGGCAGGGGACAGTCTGGGGACACCGCTGTAGGCCTTGGCCTGCGAAGCTAAGAGCCCAAGGGAAGAAGACCCCGGGTCCTCTCTTCTGCTCCCGGCGGCAGCTGTCTGCTCCCCACGGTTCCTTCCTTCAAAGGTCACTTGTCAAACCAGGGACAGGGGGAGATTTATTGGGTGAGGGAACTATTTCGTAAGGGATATTTTCGGCCCTGCTCACATCTTGGCTGAGGCCTCATTCCTATCATTATCTTCCTTTCATCGTAAACTCTGTTTGCAGTCGAGTTGAAAGCAAGACCATCCAAATTAAGTTTTTAAAAATTACTGCAAAAGTGCACAAAAATTTTTTGTTTTAGTGAGCCTTGAGCAAAAATATAAACTCTAGGGCCGGG